ATCGTAGATGCGTCGTAGAATGGATTGGTGCATCTGTTGCTGAAAACGAGCTCACATTCACAGCACAAGTAATTGAGGACGAATCGAAAAACTACCACGCGTGGCAGTATAGGTATAAATTAGCTACAAATCAGCAAACCTCATGTTGTTCATTTTTATTCATGAGAACGTTTATTTTCAGACAATGGATCTTACGGCACTTTGTCTTCAAAGGCGATAACGTGGAAAGGGCTATTGAGAAGGAGCTATCGTTTACTTCAAAGCTTCTTTTCGAAGATCCCCGCAACAATTCCGCTTGGAACAATCGCTATTTCGTTTTACAAACGAATAACAAACTAGGAGATCCGAATACTATCGAGAATGAGATCAGGTTCGTTTAACTTGGCTTTGTGAATGCGTTGCCCAACGGTTGACTCTATTTTATGTTCTATATGATTCTATTTTAGATTAGCAAAACGGTTCATAGAAAAAATGCCCAACAACGAAAGCGTTTGGAATTTTTTGGCAGGGTAAGATTGAAGAAATTTCGATAGTAATCGTTTCATCGTAATTTCACTTCTTGATCAGATTACTTCTTCACAATGGCTTGTCATCACGAGTGGATGTTGTAGATTTTGTTGAAGATCTGTATGAGAGAACTGAAGCTCCTAAACGAGCTCCTTACCTGGTATGTCGTAATCTCAGTTTATATTATGTAATTTCTTGCCTGGGTATCCATTTGACCTTATCATGGGTGTGTTATTATTTCAAGGTTTCGTTTCTCTGTGATATCTTGCTGGAGAACATCGAGAATGATGTAAACCCTGCAGAGAACTGCAAGAGAGCGAAGGAGGTATTATGAGAATATTCTTTCTTGTAGCTTGATTTGAATCAACAGTTATTTTATGCAAATATTTACATGGTGTAATTGGCTGATATCTCGCGGTTTTTCTCAATAACTTTCAACTAGATCCTTAGTTTTTCTAACATGAGTCTCTTCGCTGTACCATTGCACCGAATAAGATAAACTCATATTAAATACTTAAAATATGGGTGACGATGCTTTAAGATAAATACATTTTATACTAGTTGTTTCAGTTGTACACCGAACTCATTTCGTTAGATCCTGTTCGCTCCAACTATTGGAAGCATCAGATGCGAGTAGCAGATAATTTGTTGGAAAGGCGGGCTTTTAAAACAGTCGCGAAGTAATCCATGCTTTGCGCTCGGCAAGTTGGATTTCAGGACGGTGATCGAGTTGTCATGATCTTTTTATTTACTTTTGTATGCTATATCA